ATAACCAAAAGTATTAAAAAATCCGAAATAAGCATCCTATTCTCTTCATATTTAACAAATCCAATTATTTCTACTAATATTTATCGGCCCACTCCTTCTGGTACCTCCGCCACAGTGGGAAAAATTATTGAATATCCATGAAGCACATAAAACACGCAATTAACATCCGATTCCATTCAGACTTGGTGCATCTCAAGAGATCGGACCATTTCTTCTGGTACGTCCCCCACATAGAGTTCAATATTTTGAAAAACAGAACGTTCAACTCTCTATAAACTTCACACATACAGGCATTTTTTTCAATGAATGTGTCTGAAAATCTACAAAAGAAGTTCCTTCTGAGTGCATTACCTCCGGGAAGAGAAATTGTCTGTATAGGTCCTCGATATTGTATAGCCCCATGCAACGATACCCCCGATATTCGGTGTTTTGATGATTTTAGAGACATTAATCACCGGAATTGTTTCAAATTTCGTATTTGAAGTTCGTAATGGGTACTATAGCCAACGACAGAAAATTGCGTATGCAGGCCCACGTCTTCGTATAGGCCCCATATATCGGTACCTCAATATATTGGGTGTTTTGACGATTTTAGCGACACTATTCACCGGAATTGTTTCAAACTTGACATTTGAAGTTCGTAAAGGATTCTACAGCCTATGAAATATTTCAATGTTCGTATTTAGAATTTGCAATGGGTACTACAGCTTATGACAAAAAATTGCGAATCCAGGTCCTTTTCTTCGTATAGGCCCCATATATCAGTACCTACCTATATTCGAAATTTTGACCACTTTGGGTGCAATTTTCGCTGAAATTGTTTGAAATTTCGTGTTTGAAGTTCCTAATAGGTACTACATCCTGTGACAGAAAATTGTCTATGCAGGTCCAGGTCTTCCCTATATTCCCTCCCTATATTCGGTATTTTGCTGATTTTAGCGACATTATTCACCGGAGTTCAAATTTCGTATTTAGAGTTCGTAATGGATACTACAGTCTATGACAGAAAATTGTCTATGCAGGTCCAGGTATTCGTATAAGTCCCACATATCAGTACCTACCTATATTCGGTATTTTGACGATTTTAGCTACAATATTCGTTTGAAAACTCGTATTTGAAGTTCCAAATAGGTACTACAGCCTGTGACAGAAAATTGTCTATGCAGGTCCTGGTCTTCATATATCCCTGACATAACGGTACCTCCCTATATTCGATATTTTGATGATTTTAGGTACAGGGTTGCCCATATTCGACGGACCCATCTGGCAACGCCATAACTTTTGACAGAGATGTCACATCGCTTAATGACATACCGCGTTTGAAGCGTCAGTCCAAGAGATTTTTACCATTAACCAATACACGCCACGCGAGCGCTCTGAAATAGTTGAAATTTACAAGAAGTCAATTGTGAAAACTCAACGTGCTTTTAAAACATAAAAAAATGTGAGAAGTGCGCCTTCTAAGAACACCATTAAGCGTTTATACGAAAAATTTTCGACTGGTAAGGCTCTTTCTAATCCGAAGAGGCCATATAAAAGTCGACCAAGGCTATCGGCCGAGAATATAGCTGCCGTACGAGCCAGTGTTGAGAGGTCCCCAAGAACATACATTTGCATTTGTTCCCGTACAAAATTCAATTGATGCAAAGAATGTTGCCTGCGGACAAGCCTCGTCGATTGGAATGGGCCAAAAGAGTCATGGGTCCGTCGAATATGGGCAACCCTGTACATTATTCATCGGATTTTTTTTTTTTTAATTTTCGTATTTGAATATTGTAATGGCTTATGACAAAATTTGCCTATGGAGGTTCACGTCTTCGTATAGACCCCAATATAACGGCTTTATTCGATATTTTTAATATTTTAACAGATTTTTAACGGATTTTATTTTTTTGCAAAATTTCCAAATTCGTTCCAAATGTTGGAGGGTATTCAAAGTTCGGACCGACCGAACTTACTGCTTTTTTACTTGTTTTAAGTTCTATTTTTATTAGCATGGTTTTCTTTTCTCTTTTCTTTATTGTCTTTTATTTTTTTCTTTTTTTGGAAATCTGTCTTATATTAATAATATTGAATAGACCTCCCTCCAACGCTCATTAAATGCACCCACCAGCAAGTCAATGACTTTGGCCTTTACATTTCAATCATTTTCTTGTCAAAGTCTTCTTTAAGGTTTATTCTCTGGTATCTCTCAACGACGGTGGTGGTGGCCGTGGTGACGATGATGGACATCAATTGTTTGCCAATGTCTGAGTTCCTTTTAGAATCCTTTCTTAATCGAAGTGTCATTTCTTATTCGAACTTTGATGTTTCAAACTTTCCGATGGTGATAGGATGTCTATCTAAATAAATGGTAGATATTTTATTGCAGGTCATTTATTTTAACTGTGACCTTGAAATAATACAAAACGAAACATATGAAACAAATAATAGTTGGATCCTTATTTAAATTAACTATAAAAACCCAAAATATCTTCTCAAAGAACAAACTTTAAATTGTCTGGAAAACCACGAACAAGTCTCTCAATTTGTTATTCTCTAATTTGCACATACATTTGTTTTCTCATAAGTTGTCCTCAAGGACTCCCCTAAAACCTACGCACACACCCTCGTATGTGTTAGTCTGTGAATTTTCTTTCTTTTCCTTAAACTAGGCAATAAGTGTCAAATTTAAATGTGTTTCAAGGAAGGAATAGAGGGATACAATGAAACCTCCACCATCACCACCCATCCCATGCATTGCTTAAAAGCTTTACCCTTTTGTTGTGGAAAGAGGGGTTTACAAATGCAGAATAAATTACATTTAAAATACAATTTAAATGGTTTTATTTGTGTTGTGTTTTCCACTGAGGCGTTTTCCTGACGTAATTGAATTTAGCCGAGACCATTTTACGCAGCTTTTTTTGTATTCTACGCAATATATATTCGAATACACAAACACACAGATATATAGACGGGGGCTTTAAGATTAAAGTAATTTTTAAATAAAACTCTTTCAAGAAATAAATCACCTTCAAATTTAACAGCAGATCTTCTAAAGCTCTTCCACGAAGAGAGGTTCTTCTGAAACTCTTCTAAAAAGAAAATAATCTCCGAACTCTTTCCTCTTCTAGAACTATAAGACCTTAAAAAGCTCATTTCGGAATAGAAGAACTTCAAAAACTCCTCAAGACATCGAAGTCCTGCAAAAGCTCTTTTAAGAATACAGTTCCTTCAGAAACTATTGTTCATAGAGAAATGGTCCCTCTAATAATCGGAAGAAAAACCTTCTGAAGCTCTCCCATGACCAGAAGACCTTATGAATCTCTTATATGACTAAAAGACTTTCTAAAGATTTCTCTGAAGAGAAGACTATCTAAAGCTTTTCTATGAAGAAAAGATCTTCTGAAGTTCTTCTATGACTAGAAGACCTTCTGAAGTTCTACTATGACTAGAAGACCTTCTGAAGTTTTTCTATGACTAGAAGACCTTCTGAAGCTCTTCTATGACTAGACGATATTCTATGAACAGAAGACCTTCTGAAGCTCTCCAATGACTTGAAGACCTTCTGAAGCTCTTCAATGACTAGAAGACTTTCTGAAGCTCTCCTATGACTAGAAGACCTTCTGAAGCTTTTCTATGACTAGAAGATCTTCTGAGGATCTTTTATGACCAGATGACCTTCTGAGGATCTTCTATGAAGAGAAGACCTTCTGAAGCTCTTCTATGACTAGAAGACTTTCTGAAGCTCTCCTATGACTAGAAGACCTTCTGAAGTTCTTCTATGACTAGAAGAATTTCTGAAGCTCTCCTATGACTAGAAGACCTTCTGAAGTTCTTCTATGACTAGAAGACCTTCTATGACTAGGAGACCTTCTGAAGCTCTTCTATGACTAGAAGACCTACTATGACTAGGAGACCTTCTGAAGCTCTTCTATGACTAGAAGACTTTCTGAAGCTCTCCTATGACTAGAAGACCTTCTGAAGCTCTTCTATGACTAGAAGACTTTCTAAAGCTCTCCTATGACTAGAAGACCTTCTGAAGCTCTTCTATGGCTAGAAGACCTTCTGAGGAACTTCTATGACTAGAAAGATCTTATAACTAGAAGACCTTCTGAAGCTCTTCTATAACTAAAAGACCTACTAAAGCTATTCTATGACTAGAAATCCTTCTGAAGCTCTTCTATGACTAGGAGACCTACTGAAGCTCTTTTGTGAACAGAAGACCTTTAAAAGATCTTCTATGGTTAGAAGACCTTCTAAAGCTCTTCTATAGATAGAAGACCATTTGTATGGGTTGACTAGAGAACCTTATGAAGCTTTTCTATGACTACAAGACCTTCTGAACCTCTTCTATGACAAGAAGACCTTCTGAAGCTCTTCTGTGACTAGAAGATCTTCTGAAGCTCTTCTGTGACTAGAAAACCTTCTGAAGCTCTTCTATGGATAGAAGACCATTTCTATGGGTTGAAGTCTTTCTTATGCTCGTCTATGACTAGAAGACCTTCTGAAGCGCTACTATGACTAGATGAAGCTATTTCATTATAGAACAAATCTTAAATGCGTACAAATTCCTAATACTTTTTTTCAAAATTCCTTTCATAAATAACTTCCATCTCTTATAATTTTCCCAAGTTCAACCTCAAACTAATTGAAAGTGAAATTTAATCACTCAGTTATTCCGAAGTAGTCAGTGGGCTACTTGTCAAATTCCACAATCTCCCCGTTAATGTCATTTGCATAATTGTTATCGTCATTAAACTGCTGGTGCTCTTTTACATACATTAAAGGGACGCCTGGACAATGTTGAGCGGATGCTACCCGCATTTGTAGGCCAGCTATTTGAAGAGACAAGAATGGACATCGGATGTGACATTGTTTTTTTTTTTTGTAGTTTAATTTTAGATTTGACGTAAATCTGAGCATTTGTGTTTGACGTTAAGAAAAAGTGAAATAAGGAAAATGAAATGTTTTTACTTAAAAATTGCAATTCTCGAACCCAGAATGAAACAACAAAAATACTAACTTTATCATATTGTATTCTTCATTAAATTGTCAATTATTTCATGTACAGGTGTTGAGATCAAATCCAAGATACTTTCCGTGCAAATCTCTTCATAATGATGGCACTGGTCATGAATGCCATCCACCTCGGCTTGATAATATTGCAGGGGTAGATTTTCATTTCTCGATGTCGTGGGCCTTTAAAAGAAATACCAAGGCAATTAGAATATTAAAGGAGGCGGATATTTCTTTATTTTATACTTACGAAAACATAATGTGAATTATACTACCCAAAACACCATTTATGTAACCCAATTCGGAGGAATTTGTTTCACAAATCAAACGCAGCAGACATGGTTCGCCTTCGAAACCGCTTCTGCAATAAGAATTTAGAGGGGAAAGAATTACATTTTTGAAAGTAAAATTAGTAAAAAAGCTGTAGTTCGGCCGGGCCGAACTTTAAATATCCTCCACCATTTGGAACGAATGTGGCAATTTTCAAAAAAATAAAATCCGTTAAAATCTTAAAAATGCCGAATGTAGCCGTTATATTAGGGTCTATACGACGACGTGCATCTACATAGGCAACTTTTGTCATAAGCCATTACAATATTCAAATGCCGAACTCGAAAAAACATTCGGTGAATAATGTAGCTAAGATGATCAAAATACCGAATATAGAGAGGTTCCATTATATGGGGGCTATACGAAGACGTGGACATGCATAGACAATTTGTTGTCATAGTCTGTAGTATCCATTACGAACGTCAAATACCAAATTTGAACAATTCCGGCGAATAATGACGCTAAAATCATCAAAATACCGAATATCGGGAAGTAGCCTTATATGGCGCTATACCAAAACGTGGTCCATTTACCATATCAAAAGTCCTGCAGACATAATATACATTTGAGTAAAATTTTATCAATCTACTTCATTTCGTTCGGAAGCTAAAGTGATTTCCACAAACGGACAGACGGAAGGACATCGCTAAATCGACATATAATTTTATTTAATTCTTTGTGGGGTCTAAAATGTATATTTCGAGGTGTTACAAATGGAATGACAAACTTAATATACCCTACATACTATGGTGGAGGGTATAAAAATAGCAAGTTAAATCGCTGGGTCGAGCTTTATGTCCTTCCCTATAAGACAACTTATGGCTAAAATGGTTATTACCAAATTAATACCTAATTATTTACTGAGAACCCAAAGTAGAGATTTACAACTGATTTCGTTGCCGGAGGGGCCTTCTGGAGGATATACAAAAAACGGGACAACATTGAAAAAAATGTGTGAGGAATTAAACCTCCCGGTCGTATTGGACCGAAACCTTCAAAATGCCAAAAAAAAAAAAATGAGGTATGGAAGCCACACCTAAAGGTGATCTGATGTAGTTCATTTTCAATACCTAAAATGAACGAATGAAAGCAACTGAAATCGCTGTAACTCATAAACCTGAGATCGCTTACATAAACCTTGGTATTGATGTCAACTTTCACATGAAGTTTAAAGAAACAAATTCGGTTGAGGCATTCCAGAGAACATTAATGACTAACACAATGCAACATATTATTATACCCTTAGCCATATGTCTAGAGAGGGTATATATCATTTGATATGGCAAAAACGTTGCTCATCGAAATAACTGAAATAACCTAGGGTCTAGGTCCCTTTGGACCAAATCCGTTTCAGGACATTTGGAGTCGTTCTAGCTATGTCCGTCTGTCTGGCTGGCTGGTGCTCACGATAACGCTCGAAGGGGGTATCCGAATAGGTTCAAACTTGGTATAACGTAATTTTATTATCAAACTTAGATCGAGTTTGGAGATGGGCAATATCAGTCCACCCCTTCTGGTACCTCCACAAAAGGTATAAAAAAAAAATAGTTTACTGCCTGGAAAAAGACATGATAATCGGATTTTGTTCTAACTTTGCAAATCCTAATATTTGCGGTAGTGCTAGGTCAGGTGCGAAAATGGACAATATCGGTCCACCCCCACAAAGTGTCAAAATTTTGAATAATTACAACTCTTATAAAATGTGATTTAAAAGTTCGATTGTCTTCAAATTTCACACATTCCAATATTTTTAATAACCTAAGGTGTGGTGTAAAGATGGTAAGGATCGGTCCACTCCCTCTGGTACCTCCTCCACGAAGGGTAAAAGTTTTGAATAACAAAAACGATTATAAAATCCGAAATAAGTATCTGGGTCTCTTCATATTTCACTCATCCCATTATTTCTACTAACAATATATCGGTCCACTCCTTCTGGCACCTAAACCACACCCCCCCCCCCCCCCAAAGGGTCAAAATTTTGAATAACCATGAAGCTCATAAATCGCAAAATTAACATCCGATTCCATTCAAAACTTGGTACATCTCAATATGTCCAACAACCCAATTTGGTACAAATTTAACAATTTCCAAAAAAAAAAATAAAATCCGTTAAAAATTCTATTAAAATTATAAAAATACCGAATGCCTATACGACGTGGTCCTGCATAGGCAACTTTTGTCATAAGTTATTACAATATTTAAATTCGAAACTTGGAGAAAAATCTGTTTATAATGTAGCTAAAATCATCAAAACACCGAATATAGGGGGTACCGCTATACGAAGACGTGGACCTACACAGACAATTTTCTGGTATGGTCTGAAGTATCCATTACGAACTTCACATGAGAAATTTGAAACAATCCCGGTAAATAGTGTCGCTAAAATCATCGAAATACCGAATATCGGGGGGTACGGTATATGGGGGCTATACGAAGACGTGGACCTACATGGCCCATTTTCTGTTTTATGCTGCAGCATCTATTACGAACTTCAAATGCCAACTTTTGAACGATTCCGGTAAATAATGTCGCTAAAATCATCAAAATACCGAATATCGGGGGGTATGGTATATGGGGGCTATACGAAGACGTGGCCCTACATGGCCCATTTTCTGTTTTATGCTGCAGTATCTATCACGAACTTCAAATGTCAAATTTGGAACGATTCCGTTAAATAATGTCGCTAAAATCATCAAAATACCGAATATCGGGGTGTACCGTTATATAGGGGCTATACGAAGACGTGGACCTACACAGATTATTTTCTGTCTTAGGCTGTAGTATCCATTACGAAGTTCAAATGACAAATTTGAAACAATTCCGGTGAATAATGTCGCTAAATTCATCACAATACCGAATATCTGGAGGTACCGTTATATGTGGGCTATATGATAACTTGGACCTACATGGCCCATTTACGAACTTAACCTGCCTACTGGCAAAATATACATGTGTGCAAAATGTTAGCCTTCTATCTCAATTTGTTTGAAAGATAGCGTGATTACAACAGACAGACAGACAGACAGACGGACATGGCTAAATCGTCTTAGAATTTTACGCTGATCAAGAATATATATACTTTGTTGGGTCTGACATGAGTATTTCGAGGAGTTACAAACGGAATGACAAAATTGGTGGAGGTTATAAAAATGGTAGAGATCGGACCATTTCTTCTGGTACCTCCCCCACATGGGGTTCAAGATTTTGCAAACCAAAACGCTCAAAGAAAGCGAAATAAGTATCCCACTCTCTTCAAATTCCACACATACAAACACTTTTGCTAACACAATATCTGCTGTGAAGATGATATATATGAGCGAACCACCTCTAGTCCCTCACCCACAATGGGTCACAATTTTCAATTCTTTTATATGTCATAGCTTGTGAAACAAGTCAGCGTTTCTTTACAACTTTTTATATATAAATATGTAACCCTTCAACCAAAAACCTGAGATCAATATGAAATTTATCGGACTTTAAAATTTCGCATACAATTTTTATACCCTCCACCATGGAAAAGAGGGTATATTAACTTTGTCATTCCGTTTGCAACATCCCTAAATATTCGTCGCAGACCTCATAATGCATATATATTCATAATCAGCATAAAATTCTATGTCGATTTATCGATGTCCGTCTGTTGAAATCACGATACAGGCCACATTATTTGACGTAGGGCGCCAAAATTTAGCAGAATAATTTGTATTGTGTCTAGGACGGTTGGTATTGAAAATGAGATGTATCGGTTCACGTTTTGGTATAATCCCCATATAACGGTACCTCCCGATATTCGACATTTTGACGATTTTTCGCCATATCTTCCCACGAATATGTCTGAAATTTGGAAGAGAAGGAAGTTACCAATATAGTCCAGGCCTGACACGTCACAATATTTATATCATATTATTTTAGGTCCGATACGAAATGGACAATATTGGCGAATTTCATATAGTTTCACTTTCTCTCTCTCTTTTGCAATTTTGTGAAACCTATGCTTCTTTGACACCCTACACAATCACAACACCCCAATGTGAAACTTACCTCTCAAATTTGTCGATGAGTATCCGATAGAAATGTGTTCGTGTCAACAGAGAAGGCATTGAACGTCTTCTGCGACGACGGCGACGACGACGTTGTGTTTCTGTTGAGTTCGTAACTTGATCTGTGGCCATATTTTCATCTTCTGCACTAGTTGTGTTATTTTCCTCCTCTTCTTCCAATTCCTCACCTTGGCCATCTGTTGCTTCAACAGAATTCATGGTACAATTATTGTGGCACGTTTTGCCGCTATGCAATCTGGCCTCTTCTTCAAATAAATCCTCATCTTCAATACCGGTCTATTAGGAAAGAGTCATTTGTTGGTTGTTGTTATTGCAAAAATTAACACCGTCTTATGTCAACCGAAGAAAAATTTTCACAAGTGGGAAAACTTACCGCATATGGTGGTATACCCCAGGTCTCGGGTAGATTGTAATTTGCCTCAAAGTTATACGAAATGAAAACATTGCGATGTGGCAGATCCAAGGGAACGGCGAGGGCAGCGAAGATCTATTGCGAAAAAAAATTAAGTTTTAAAAAATTCCAATGGAGATTTCCAATACAAACTTACGCCATAAGCACTGTTGGAGGGAAAGAAGGACACACTCTGTACCCACCTAATGGAGCTAATACCAACGATAAGAGTTAATAGCAACTTATGCTGAAAGTTTTCCATAATTTTTTAAACTTTCCAAAAAACAAAACTTGATCTGATTTTCCTCCGTTTGAATGTGGCCCGTGCCGTTGCGTTGCGTCTTATTTGTTACGGTATCCGAGCTAAACTAAACGTTTAGTCTGGCGTTTAGTTTTTTTGTCTTTAGAAATGTGTTAAGACTTTAAATTCAATCAAAAGCCATGTTTATTGGTTTAATTAGAACATTTTTAAAACCGCTATGCTTTGCTTTCGTTTATCACCGCTCACATCACACAGCATGAATGAAAGTGCTGTAAATTTATCGTGTCAATAAAGTAGTGAAAATTCACAATGGCCCAAAAACAAATATAATAAAAATTCTTTTCGTTTTTTTTTTTTTTTTTTTTTGTTAGTATTTCAATAACAATGACCTACTATTCTACTACTAGTCTAAGGAAATATAGGAATACAACTTTTTTAACCGTGGGGAAAATTCGTTCCTTAGAAAGTCCATAAAAAATTGATTTGTTCTCTATTTTGAAACTTAAATACCTACAAAAACAAGTCAAACAGTATCAGTCGGTTTTGCCGACAGATTTATACCCCCAGCCTTGAGTTTTAATTATTAAAATTGTTGATCCTTTATTATGGAGGGTCCGAAGCAGTTGGCCAATATTGACCAATTCATATCTGACCTAAGACTGAAAAAATATTACAACGCGTCAGATTTGGGCTATATCGACTACTTCCTATTATACCCTCCACCATACTATGGAGGGTATATTCACTTTGTCATTCCGTTTGTAACTCATCAAAATAATGATCTTAGACACCACAAAGTATATATATTCTTGATCAGCGTAAAATTCTAAGACGATTTAGCCATGTCCGTCTGTCTGTCTGTCCGTCTGTCTGTCTGTTGTAATCACGCTATCTTTCGAACAAATTTTGCACACATGTATATTTTGCCAGTAGGCAGGTTAAGTTCGTAAATGGGCCATGTAGGTCCACGTTTTCATATAGCCTCCATATAACGGTACCTCCCGATATTCGGTATTTTGATGATTTTAGCGACATTATTTACCGGGATTGTTTCAAATTTCGCATGTGAAGTTCGTAATGGATACTACAGCCTAAGACAGAAAATAATCTGTGTAGGTCCACGTCTTCGTATAGTCCCTATATAACGGAACCCCCCGATATTCGGTATTTTGATGATTTTAGCGACATTATTTACCGGAATCGTTTCAAATTTGGTGCTTGAAGTTCGAAATGGATACTACAGCCTAAGGCAGAAAATTGTCTATGCAAGTCCACGTCTTCGTATAGCCCCCATATAACAGTAGCTACCTATATTCGGTATTTTGAGGATTTTAGCGACATTATTCACCGGAATTGTTTCAAATTTGGTATTTAAAGTTCGTAATAGATGCTGCAGCATAAAACAGAAAATGGGCCATGTAGGTCCACGTCTTCGTATAGCCCCTATATAACGGTACCCCCCGATATTCGGTATTTTGATGATTTTAGCGTCATTATTTAACGGAATCGTTCCAAATTTGGTATTTGAAGTTCGTAATAGATGCTGCAGCATAAAACAGAAAATGGGCCATGTAGGTCCACGTCTTCGTATAGCCCCCATATACCGTACCCCCCCGATATTCGGTATTTTGATGATTTTAGCGACATTATTTACCGGAATCGTTTAAAGTTGGCATTTGAAGTTCGTAACAGATACTGCAGCATAAAACAGAAAATGGGCCATGTAGGTCCACGTCTTCGTATAGCCCCCATATACCGTACCCCCGATATTCGGTATTTTGATGATTTTAGCGACATTATTTACCGGGATTGTTTCAAATTTCGCATGTGAAGTTCGTAATGGATACTTCAGCCCATGCCAGAAAATTGTCTATGCAGGTCCACGTCTTCGTATAGCCCTTATATAACGGTACCCCCTATATTCAGTGTTTTGATGATTTTAGCTACATCATAAACAGATTTTTCTTCAAGTTTCGCATGTAAATATTGTAATAACTTATGACAAAAGTTGCCTATGCAGGTCCAAGTCGTCGTATAGGCTTTCGGTATTTTTAAAATTTTAACAGAATTTTTAACGGATTTTATTAATATTTTTTTTTTTTTGGAAATTGTTAAATTTGTACCAAATGGTGGAGGGTATTAAAAGTTACAGCTTCTTTACTTGTTATAAAAAGTAGATGTTTCCTCTATTTTGAAATTTAAATATATATAACAAGTAAAAAACATTAAGTTCGGCCGGGCCAAACTTTTAATGCCCTCCACCATTGGGTAAAGAAAAGATTTTTTTTCATAAAAGTATCCATACCAAAACGGGAACCTCTATAGAAAATGTTCAAGAATTGTCATCAACCAAATCTTCTAAAATACCAAATTTGAAACAATTTCGTGGGTAAATGTGACTATGATTATCAAAATACCGTACCGGTGGGTATCGTTATATGTGCGCTATGGGAAAACGTGTACCTAAATATTTAATGTTCGGAGCTAGAACCCAACACTAATTTTTGGACAAATCCGTGGAAAAATTTAACAAAAATCAACAAAATACCTAATATCTGGAGGTTATATGGGGGCTATACCAAAACATGGAACTATACTTACAATGTTTCGCCATCGGAACTAGAACCCACTATGACCTACAAATATAAATTTTTAGACAAATCCGTAAAAATGTGCCAAAAATCATTGAAATAACGAATATCGGGAGGAACCGTTATACGGGGGCTATATAAAAACATGGACCAATACATACATTGTTTCGTCACACGAGCTAGAACCTATTAAGACCTACAAGTAAAAATTTTTAGACAAATCCGTAGAAAAATGTGGCAAAAATCATCAAAAAAAAACGAATATCGGAATTTATAGTTATATGGGAACTATACCAAAACGTGGACTGACATATCTCATTTTCAAAACGAACCATCCTAGACACAATACAACTTTTTTCTGCTTTATGGGGTCTACGACGAATATTTAGGGATGTTACAAACGGAATGACAAAGTTAATATACCCTCCTTTCCAAGGTGGTGTCAAATAGTATAAGTCGGGTTTGCCGATAGATGTATACCCTCAGCCAATGTTCGATTATTTTAATATATTTTGACTTCTGTTGTGATTGTTCAAATTGTTGACCCTCAATGGAGTAGATTCGGATGGAATGGACCAATATTGTCCATTTCGTATCGGACCTAAATAAATATGATATATATAAATATTTCGACGTGCCAGATTTGAACTATTTCGACTACTTCATTCGCTTTATATGAGATATGCGATAATTTTGTGATAATTGTGACCCTTTGTGGGTGAGGTACCAGAAGGAGTTAGCAGTTATATATCATATTCACAAGATATCTTGTGTTAGCATGTGTGAAATTTGAAGAGAGTTGGATGCTTATTTCGCTCTTTTGACTATTTTGTTTTTCAAAATCTTGAACCCTATGTGGGGGATGTGTCAGAAGCAATGGCCCGATCTCAACCATCTCCATCTTCATGAAAATATTGCAATGTCCCAAGCCTGAATGGAATCGAATGTTAATTTCGTGTTTTATGAGCTTCATTAAAATTCAAAATTTTCAACCTTTTTGGGGGAGGTACCAGAAAAAGTCCGATCTCTACCATATTTATAAAAGACCTTGTGCTGGTAGAAATGTTGAGATGTGACAAATCTAAATATAATCGAACGTTATTTTCGCGTTTAATGAGCTTCATGGATATTCAAAATTTTGACCCTTTGTGGGGGGAGTACCAGAGGGAGAGCTCCGATCTATACCATCTTCACATCAGATCTTGTGTTAGTTGAAATAATGGGATTTGTGATTTATGAAGAGAACCAGATGCTTATTTCGGATTTTATAATAGTTTTGGTTATTAAAAATGTTGACCCTTTGTGGGGGAGGTACCAGAAGAAATGGTCCGATCTCTACCATCGTTGTTGTAAATATTGTGTTGATGTAAATATTGGGATGTACAAAGTCTGAATAGAATCGGGTGTTAATTTCGTGTTTTATGAGCTTTATGAAGATTCAAAATTTTGATCCTTTGTGGAGACCTTTTGTTAATATAAATAATGGTACGAGTGAAATATGAAGAGACCCGGATGGTCATTTCGGATTTTTTCATCGTTTTGTTTATTCAAAACGTTTACCCTTCAGGGGGAAGGTACCAAAAGGTATGATCCGATCTCTATCATCTTTAGATCTTGTGTTTATGGAAATATTGCAATGGGCCAAGACTGAATGGAATCGGATGTTAATTTCAAGTTTGATGAGATTCATGGATATTCACAATTTTGACACTTTTGGGGGGGGGGGGGGGGGGGGGGGGAGACGTACCAGAAGAAACGGTCCGATCTCTACCGTCTTTATAACAGGTCTTGTGTTGATGAAAATATTGAGATGTACCAAATCTGAATAGAATTGGACGTTATTTTCGCGTTTTATGAGCTTCATGGATACCAGAAGGAGTAGATTGATATATTCCATCTTTACAGCAGATCTTGTGTTAGTAAAAATAATGGGATAAAATATGAAGAGAACCGGAGGCTTATTTCGTATATTATGATCGATTTGGTTATTTAAAACTTTGACCCATTGTGGGGGAGGTACCCGAAGAAATGGTCCGATCTCTACCATCTTTATAACAGATCTTGAGTTGATGGAAATATCGAGATGTACCAAAGTCTGAATGGAATCGGATGTTAATTTCGTGTTTTATGAGCTTCATGAATATTCAAAATTTTGACCCATCTATAGATTTTGTGTTGATGGAAATATTGCAATTTTAATTTCGCGTTTTATGAGCTACAGGAATATTGGATTGACTCCAAATGCCCTGAAACGGATTTGGTCCAAAAAGACCTAGGGTCCAAAACCGTTATTTCGATGAGACACGTTTTGGTCTATCAAATAATAGACAAGATGAATTGTTATTGGGGTGTCAGCAAAAAGAGAGCGATTTAAGAGAGAAATTTAAACAGTTCTCTCACTGACAGTCTGCAAATTCTTGCTAGACAAATTTCTTCTTTCAAATTTTTGCAACACTCCTTCTTTCCCTTCCGGTATCTTAAATTCGGATAAGCATTTTAAAAACGTCTTTATTTTTAATAACAAGCGCACTTTTTTTTATTTCGGCTCATTTTTGATTTCTGCATCTTTATTTCTGTTTAGGCTTTCAACTTTTTGCAGGGATTCCCTCTCTTTAATTTTCAGAATTTTTTTGTACAAGAGAATACAACTACCTACCTCTCCCATAAAAAAGTTTCTGGAGAACTCCCGCAGAAAAAATAACCACACGCACCTAGGGTCGGAATTCACCTTCTGTGTGTCCTAAATAATGAGATCCGGGAGCACTCAGTAGATTCGGCATGAGGTTGTCGAAATTAGTCAAAAATACTAGCGACGATTTGGCTTCGAGGTCTGTGCCAAGACGTTTTCCATTTCTAGTCCGTAACACTTGTGCGTTATTCCCTTAGCAAAGTCTATTCGAAAAACAAATATTTCCAACGAACTGTGTTAATGCTATTAAAACCCATAAAAGAAAAGTTTACAGCAATAATTAGAACCTATAAATTTATTGTGGTGGGACAAACTGAAAGGTTGTTAATGAATTACGTCAACAAAATAAAAAAAGTTTGCTCCATTTTCTTATGGGGCTGTGTCACATTATTTGATTGTGGTCTTCAAAGGGTGTTACCATTGGCTGAAAACATTTCGATAAATGTGCCAACATATAAAAATAATTAATTTCGGATCCCCCAGAATTGAGAAAGTTTTAAATACTGAAAATATCTAATTTCTGTCTGTTGGGTCCCCGAATTGGTCTCAGAAGGCGTTTATGGCTACACTGGCGCCACCACAATGAGGTAAACAAATCATTTTGAAAATAAGCTGCACCCGGTTATAGAAAGCTGCTATAGTCTTCAAAAGTCCCATAAAAATGGCGCTACCATTATAATATATATAATACAATTCTGAAACATGGGGCTATAAGAAAACGTCGACCTACATAGAAAATGTTCTTCCATCGGAGCTTAAAACCATTACGAAAATTGGGACAATTCCATTGAAAAAATATGACTGACAGTTCTAACTCCAGTTTTGCCAAATTTGGAAGTCTTCCACTTGGTAGTGGGGTAGGTTTGGCAGACCAATTAAAGAGGTGCAGAATATTGTGCGGGCCTTTATCACACACCGGACACGTTCTTAAGTTGCAATGGATGGGGGGTTGAACTCCGAGGAGGGCATCAGTATGAATGCTATTCAGGCCAGCCTGATCGGGTATACCCTTCCTCACATTCCTAGATAGAGGAGTTTTATCCACAATATGATTGTTTGGATGACTCTCATGATAGCTCCCAAACAGCTGTTGCAACGAAAGCATATGGTTATGCCGACGTATGGGAAGGACCTTCGCCTCCTCATGTAAATGGTTCACTCTAATCATGAGGTTCACTCTAACAGGGTGTCGCAGTTTTCAGGGTATTCTTCCACTGCGTAGCACTTGTATTCGCAGACCATACTAGGGCGAATAGCTGACCACAGCAAGACCTATCGCTTTATAAGAGGTCAACAAGGACTCCTTGTTCGCGTCCAAGTGCTGCCGGCTATCGCCTTGTGGACCCTGTTTCTACTTTCCATTTTGTCGCAGATAGCTATAGCTTGCGTGGACGACCTGAACATGCTGTCGAATGTGCCCACTAGGATCTTCGGGTACTTCTTGGTCGGAATTAAATTTCCCTCAACCAACAATTTCATCTCCGAAACCATGCAGGAATGTATAGGTGTTCAACCTTACACATATGTCATCAACAGCAGAAACCGACGCCTGGATGGTTCAATCGTCCGCATACGTTATCCCTATGCCGTATGGAGGGCAAGGAATTTCGCAAAGGTATGGGGAACTGCCTTCCACCAAAATGGTGTTTGGACTTTTGGTATCCAACGTTGCAATCTTGGCAAGAGGATAGTTCTGTCCACATTCTCAGAGTGGCGTCGTTGACTTTATAAAACGCCTTTGATAGGTCAAGGGCTACCAAAACTGTTTTATGACACGACTTGTTCTAGTTTATTCCTCGACTGAGATGTGTGGATGTGGCGTGCAATGTTGATGTGGTACTAACCCTCCATAGTATGGTGGAGGATCGGAAACAAGGTACATTAAGACGCATACCCTAGATATAGGGCTTTTTAAGCTACTATCTCTGAAATTAGAAGCTTATATCCGAAATAACCTCCCTAAATTGAATCTAATGTCCGAAATAAGATTATCTCATAATGCTTATCTCTGCCAATCCGAAATCTCTCTGATAAATTTCTGCCTGAGCACTTATCTGATTTAAGGTTCTTATAATACACTATATCTTGTGATGCTTTTCCCGAGATACACATATATCTGATGAGATGCTTTTCTCCGAAATAACGACACGTAAAATGCATACCTTACAGATATCCTGTTGCGATTAGAACTGTGGTGTTAAAAATGTGATTATATTAATACAAATATTTCTCAATTTTGTTCCTCTTTTTAGAAGACCAATCATGATCATTGGTTCAGTGCCAAGCCTATTTTCTCAGAGTAAAGCTTTTATAGGAGCGCCCATCTCCCGGACCTGTTATCCATAGGGCATTTATGACATTTACATTTTAAATAATACCTATTACTTTCTCAGAGAGATACAATTTAGGAGCGCTTATCTCCAGGACCTCTTATCCATGGGGCATTTATGACATTTACATTTTAAATAATAATTATTTTTTTCTCAGATGAGAAACAATTTATTTGTTTTTTTTTTTTTTTTTTCCTTAATTCACCGGTCAACATTTTTCAACAAATGAAACCACGAAAGAAGCACAGAAAAAACATCATATGTTCATGTGTAGGACATTCTAATAGGAATTTCACAAATGTTTTTTTGTTTTATGTAAAAAAAATAAGAAATACTACAGCACAACAAAAACTATTTATGTTGGCGCATTTTACGCTCTTGCCACGTTACAAATTTTGTATTGGCCGATTGTAGCAGACGATTTAAATGCTGTGTCAATGTGCCGCCCAAAGGTGATAATTTTTGTTGGCAACGATCCTAGAAAAGGATAATGAAAATAATATAGAAAAGGACATTATAAATAAGAAAACAGTTTATACCTCAAATGGCTGTAATTTAGCCATTTTAAAACGTTGCAAGGCTTCGTGCATTCTCACGGCCTTGGCCTCTAAATCCTGAGTGGTGGGTGGAAAACAATGCCAGAAATGTTTTAACAATTCGGATAGGGCTAGATAAAGATTTCTTAAATCCTTTTCAAAATCAGGTGGTACAAGCTCTGAAAGTATAACAACAATATGATAATAATACTAAGGCTTTGCGATTGAATGAAGTTTCTCAACTTACGCGAAACAGACTGCTCTTGAAAGCCCCGCATTAAGGCACCACCAGGACTAAGCTCTCCCAAAGCATTTACAGCTGCAGTAGAACTAACTAAAACTTTATGAGGTACTCGTTGATTCCAATTCTCAGTGGAGCATAACAAATGATATTGGATCTCCTCCATTCGCCGAGGATCTTCGTGGGTATCGAAATTGGCACTTGGCATGGGTCCATGTAAGTAGCGTTCCACTTTACAGAGATTTATTTGTTGTGATCTTGCCTTTGCCTCAGCACTGTTGGCTTCTGGCACCAGCAGAGGTTCTCCCAAATCTTCGTAGATAATTTTTTCCGTTATTCTTTGTCTTTTAGCAGGTTTTTCAGGACTTGCGGGCACAGTGCCGCCATTTGTTGAGTTTTCTTTTTGTTTCGTCTTCTCGGCACTGCCATTTTCTGTTTTGTCCTTGTTCTGATTATTTAATGGCCCCGTACCAGCTGCCCCACCCGTCGATGTTACATCTGTACAGGTTTTCAACACCATTATTGAGTGTTGATTGAATCGTTTTATCATATTTTGATGGACAATATTCCCACTATTCACATTGTTACGATCGCCAGATACACTACAAAATCCCTCCTCCAATGGCACATCTTCGAATTGCTTGAGATCTAATAGAGGATCTCCGGCTCCTTGCTGCACAGCAGCTTTTAACGCTTGATCGTCGATTTTACCACATTCGGCAAATATGTCTTTGGTACCGGCAGTTATACGATCACGATGGAAGTAATGCGACTGGAAGAATTTTGTCCAGAATTCAGCTTCACTCATTTTGGCAGGAACGTTTTCTTGATGTTTACGTTTAACGGCGGGATATGTTTTGAATATACAATGGATTATATCATCGGTAAGATTATATTTGAGACCATTACAACCATCTGTTTGGGGTTTTATGTCGGCAAGGAAGGCTCCCGATACACCTGTAAAATAATAAAAAAATTAAAGCTAAAATAAAAGCTTTTAGAGGCGACATTAAAAAATTGAAAAACAGATTTTCAAAAGAAATTCCAATATGGATGGGGCGAACTGTTGAAAGCTCTTATAGACGAGTCCAAAAAGCAGCCTTTATAGACGCTCTCAAGGGAGACTATCGGCGAGAATCTATATAAACGTGTTGTATGGAGTGAGTTTTTATAGGAGAGCTGTAGGGAACAATTATGAACTATGATCCTTCAATTGCGAGTACTCGAAGAAGTCTTTGTAGACGAACTCGACAGGCAGTCTACTATATAAACGAACTATAGGTAGTCCATATAAATTATTTGTTGGTAGCCTATAGTAAATTGTAAGTTGTCTTTACGTGTTTTAGGTATTCTTTATAGACGAGACACCCTACCGAGGTCATATACATGCTTTAGAGGAAGTCTTCATAGACGAGCTTTGTAGGGAGGCTCAGGAGGGAGTCTTTATAGACGAGCTGTGGAGGGATTTTTTTTTTAAATGAGATCTGGAGTGATTCCTTATAGACGAGCTTTGGAGAGAGTCTTTACAGACGAGTTCTGAAGAGAGCCTTTATAGACGAGTTCTGGAAGGAGGCTTTATAGACGAGCTCTGGAGGTAGTGTTAATACACAAGGGTTGAAAGAGGCTTTATAGACGAGCTTTGGGGCTAATCTCTATAGGCAAGACGAGGAAGTCTATACAGACGACAAGAGGAAGTCTATTTAGACGAGGATAGAAAGTAGAGAGTTTTTATAGACAAGTCGTAGGTAGTGTCTCCAGAAGATCTGTAGACTGCTTTCATAGGCCAGTTTTTTAAGTTTTAGTTGGAAATTCTCGTGAGTTTAAAACCAAACATATCCACGGCCTCTGCCTGCTCATGCCATTCTCATCATCGCTTACCTATACTTTGTTTTTTATTGGTCTTCTTTAAGGCATGTTCCTTAGCGTGTGTGTTCCAGAATTCATCACTGGTTAGAACTTGGGTTATCACTAAATCTTTGTACAGCTGAAACAAGTGTGGATTTTCCGATAATATACGATTCTTCTCCTCCAACTCCTTGTCGACTTTTCGCTTGAAATTTGGCAGCAGTTGTTGTAGCAATTCTTTGACTTTATCACGATCGGCCAACATGGCCTGCTGGCCATTACGATTGACAAAATGGAATGTGGATGTATTGCCATCGTGTAGAACAACTTGTAGCTGGACTTTTGGTTTGCCTTCCGGAGAGATTTTTTGTGCTGAAACGGAAGACAATGAAATATGACTTGTACACTGGATGGGATGATATAACATACTTTTAATATCGGCAAATCTATGGGATACGGCAACAGTATCACGATTTTCTGCCATCCAGGCTAGGCGTTCATTCATAACATAGAGTGTTCCATCGCCTTTCTTGTAACGTACCTCACCCATTTGTAGCAAGACATCTTCACTGCTTGTGGTCATTTCCCTGAGAGACTAAGTGGTGTTTTTTATGTTATTTCTATTGACTTTCCTGCTGGGGATTATGGAAAACAATTTAGGTTGGTTTTTATTTTTTAATGTTGCGTATTTTCCGGTAGTTTCTTATATTTTTGTGAAATAGCCCTTGGTTGTGAAGCTTGTGTTGGAAATGACTGTCAATGCTTCTTCTTCTTCTGGCAATTTGCCATTCACCTGGAGTTATCTTCTTCCTCATTGAAGTATGCATACACGCTTGTCACTTTGAATTGATAACAGCTACTACGAAAAGGAAGAAAGGTGGAGAAGTTGGAAAAGTTACTGATAAATTTGAAGAATCAAAACAAAAGTACCATCAAAACAATAAAGGGGTTCCTTAAATCGTGTGCCAACAGGCGTTAGGGTCATGAAAATCTATTTTATAACCAAACTTGTTCCAGCAAGTTCGCATCATCACCCATTTTTATTATTCTTCAGTCTGTTACCAAAATTGGCCAGTTCTCGGTAAGATAACTATCTATCTACACAACAAGTAGTGTCGGCAACACTTTAAATGCTTTGATTTAATATTAAAGGTATCACTTTGCCCAACCGATTGCAAATGCTTCTTCTTATTTCTTACGGTAACATTCGCACATGAATGATAGCACATCACATGCTTGAGACAAAGGTGGGCTCACACAAGACGATATATCAACCGTTCATTCCTGTCGTGGATGCTATTCAAACAAAGCATACTCGTAGGCACAAAATAAAAGACAATCATATTATTTATCTCCTTCCCACAGTAATTAAATAAAATAAATAAAAAATGAAACCTTTTACACAAAGGATATGTATATAAATGTTCATTTTTTTCAATACCCCACAAAAGCTAAACAATCCTGGTTTAGACTGGCGGTAACTTTGATCGTTCTTTTTTGCATTTGCCCTTTCATTTATATAAGGCTAATGTTTTCAGAAATTTTTTCATTGTTGCTTTTTATGTAATTTTGAATTTTTTTGCTATTTCCTTTCCCCTCACCCCTCTAACCAGCAAAAAGGGGGTACATCCCGATAAAATGATGACAAATAAGTTCTGTATAATGGGTAGTCCCCTTAATATAAATCTGCTAGTCAACATGAATTACAGCCTTAACACTCACTCAGTTCGAACAACGCACTGAAGCAGAAAACATCACAATGGCCGGCATTGCTGAAATGGCCCAAATGGCCGCCCTATTGAAATATAAACGATATACTAATCCAAGGGAAAGGGATACCTTTAGTCAAACCAAGAAAAAGGACACACTGGCTTTTTACAACAACAAGGAAAACATGTTTGGCGAAAATAAGCAGTGGGGGTGGCGTAACTTAACTTGGTTCGGAGGATACGAGACCAATAAACGTCTTGGTAAACATGGAAAAAGTTTGTGAAATTCAGTGCAACCAAGGGATAACGTTTTCTACCCTTACATTTGTGGCCTGACGAAACAAAACAATGGCAGAGATAAATAATTATTTTGAAAACAAACAAGCAAAAAATAATTTGTAAATTCAGCAATAACTGTATGTGAATCATTGAGCTGTTGCAATAAATAAAGAAAAGGAGAACGAAACTAAAAAATGTGTTGGAAAGTATCTATTATTAAAAAAATACAATAAAATCACGGTGTAATTAAAGGAAATAAAACAAGTAAAAAAGCAGCTAAGTTCGGCTGAGCTGAACTTTTAATACCCTCCACCCTTCGGAAGTAACTTGAAAAAAAAAAAAAAATACGAAAACTACCACTTAAATGAAACCCGTTATATGGGAGACATACGAAAATGTGAACCTGCACAAAATTTTTTTTGTCCTAGGTCGTAGTACCCATTACGAACTTCAAATACGAAATCTGAAATAATTCCGGTAAATAATGTCGCTAAAATCATGAAAATACCGAATATCGGGAGGTACCGTTATATGGGGGTTATACGTAGATGTGGACCTGCGTACAAAAAAATTTGTCATAGGCTGTAGTACCCATTACGAACTTTAAGTATGACATTTAAAATAATTCCGGTAAATAATGCCGCTAAAATCATGAAAATACCGAATATCGGGAGGTACCTTTATATGGGGGTTATACGAAGATGTGGACTTGCATACAAAAAATTTTGTCATAGGCTGTAGTGCCTCTTTCGAACTTTAAGTATGAAATTTAAAATAATTCCGGTAAATAATGCCGCTAAAATCATGAAAATACCGAATATCGGGAGGTACCGTTATATGGGGGCTACACGAAAACGTGGACCTGCATACAAAAAATTTTGTCATAGGCTGTAGTGACCATAACGAACTTTAAGTATGACATTTGAAATAATTCCGGTAAATAATAGGTGTGTCTGCTAACTTTTCCTGCAGGAATTGTCCAGTAACTTCTTTCTGAGAGAGTAAGGTAGTTTTATTCTCTTTTGCAAGGAAAATGCGAAAAGTAAACAGACGGTATTCCTGCAGAAGCTAGCAACTAATCAGCTGATCAAAACAAACCAATTTGTCCCCCATAAGGAGAATTAAAACAAAGGAAGTAATAACAATTTTACAAGTTTTTTTAAATAAAAATGTTGGAAATAGTCTTTTATTTTCTTATTACATATTAACATTTACGTTTTTCACATTTTGTAAAGTTTTTCTCCAAAAACTATCAGTCTTGCTAATTCCAAAAAAAAAAAAATATTTTCAAATTGAAAGCACAAAAATAAATAAACAAACAATAGAAAACATCTGATTGAATGTCGATAAATGAGAAGAAGAATTTGCAAACTCAGCAAGAATTTGCAAACTTTCACTGAAAGAACTGTCAAAATTTCTCTCTCCAACCGCTCTCTTTTGCAGAACTTTTGGGTTAACAGACGACTTCCAGTAACAATTTGTAACAATTGTTACAAATTTTAGGGTAACCAGACACACCTAATGTCGCTAAAATCATAAAAATACCGAATATCGGGAGGTACCGTTATATGGGGGCTACACGAAAACGTGGACCTGCATACAAAACATTTTGTCACAGGCTGTAGTGACCATAACGAACTTTAAGTATGAAATTTGAAATAATTCCGGTAAATAATGTCGCTAAAATCATGAAAATGCCGAATATCGGAAAGTACCTTTATGTGGGGGCTATACGAAAACGTCTGCCTACTGATCAACTATGCATGTATGCAAAATTTTAGCCTTAAAGATGGCGTGATTACAAAAGACAGACAGACGGACATCGCTAGATCGTCTTAGAATTTTATGCTGATGCAGAATATATATACATGATAGGGTCTATTATGAATATTTCGAGGTGTTACAAGCGGAATGACAAAGCTAATATACCTTCCATAGAATGGTGGAGGGTATAAAAAGAATAATTCAAAATTAATTTTTATTCTACTTTTTGCAAGGATTCAAGCTAGGCAGTTTTTGCTTTAAGAGTACTTTTGTTTTTGCGAAAACCACGTTTCTACAAGAGTGTACATGTACTTTTTTGTGGCACTGTATGTAAAACACATTCCATACGATAATGCCGTTAGTAAGAATTCTAGCCAGTGTTGCCATTATTGAGGAATTTACCCCAAAACGGGGATATTTTTTCAAATTGGGGACGAAAAATTCAAGTTGGGGACTTAAGGATTTAGTGGGGATCTTTTTAATAAATTGCGGAATTTGTGAGGATTTTTTTGCATTAAAAATTCCTACTATCTTACTTATTTCGATATTTACATTTATGTTACATATGTGTAACGCATCAATAAAATACGTTCCCCACTAACCAGACAAAGTTGTTATAATTTATACCAGGTATAAGAAATGGACTTGCTATCTAGTTATCTCTTTCTATACTCTGTGTTTGCCTATAACACATACATATTGCAATTTGGAAAATTTTCAATAATAAAATTTTCAAATAATTCCATTTGCTGCAAAAATGTTGAGCCTACCAAAGAAATGTTAAAACTTTTTAATTATAAGAATTTATATAAACCAAATGAGACTGAAAATGCTTACGATTGGGAATTTGAAGTTTTTATTTTTTTTTATTCCTAGGAATGTATTGCAACTTTGAAAAGTCTAGTCTATGAAAAGTTTCATTCCGTTTGTAACACCTCGAAATATACATTTTAGACCCCACAAAGGGTCTAAAATGATCAGCATAAAATTCTATATATAGCGATGTCCGTCCCTCTATCCGTCTGTGGAAATCAGAACTTTCGGCATTGAAAATGGTCCACGTTTTGGTATAGCCCCCACATAGTAGTACCACCCGATAATCGGCATTTTGGTGATTTTAGCGATATTATTCACCGATTTTTTTAAGTTTCGTATTTGAATATTATAATGGCATATGACAAAAGTTACCTATGCAGATCCATGTCATCGTAAAGACCCTAATGTAACAGCTACATTCGGTATTTTTAAGATTTTAACAGAATTTTCAACGTATTTTATTGTTTTTAAGAATTGCCAAATTCATTCCAAATGGTGGAGGGTATTCAAAGTTTGGCCCAGCCGAACTTACAGTTTTTTTACTTGTTTTAAATAAATTTACTCTATTCGTTTTTGGTTAAATGCTTGGGGATTTTTTTTTTTTTTGAGGAAATTGAATCAAATTTGGGGAAAACGTTTTTTGATTTTGGGGACGAGAGACACAAAAATACTGGCAACACTGATTCCAGCGGCAATTGGCAAACTCTCAATAATACAACCATAGACAAATGAAGATATAGACAACGAAATGCTCTCACCGTTTAAATCAGCATGTTGACTATGCAAAACATGATGAGAGCCACCTGGATAAAAATACAAGACTAACTTTTCGTTGTCTATATCTTAATTTATCTATGATACAACTCTCATAATTGCTCTCTTCACTCACTCTCATTGAATGAATAAAATAGCGACATTTTTCCTCGTTTACTTCCCATGTTTCTTCCTACACTCGGGCTTGAAAGCTTACGTTGTCGGTCGATTTCGGACTCGTCTGACGGCCTAGGCCATCGCTGTGTAAATGTAAGTAGAAATTGTATACAGGCTTTGGATGGGTCGCACCTACATTGTCATTGGTCTCAGATGGAAGATGTATGTGCTAAAAAATCCGCTGGGTTTATTTATTTGTCACATTTTAAATGAGCCCGTCACCCTTAAATGCGCCCTCCTATTATAAATCGATTCAGTTCGATCATCCAGGCAGTGAAATGCTTGGTAATCTAAACAGTTTGCTGGTAATAAAATAAAAATAAACATATTTTGTATGTATGTATAAGGCGCGGATATTTCCCTATTTTAAGCTACTATTAATGATAAAAAAAAAAGATTGAATACATTTGTCGATTTTTTCCATTGTAAATACACAATAGGAATATATGTATGTGTATCGGTGTTGCCATTTTAAAAACAAGAGGCATATGCGACGTTTCGGTTAGAATTTTCCAGAAAAAAAAGTTATTCGTGATGGAATTCAAGCGTGATTGTATGATTTCTTTATATTTTCCTGGAAAACCATAAGTGGCTATTGTTAGAGCACTCCAGCATTTAAATGTGAATAAATCGTTTGTGTCTCGTACCATCGCTCGTTACCGTGAAGCTGGTAGCGTAGCCCGACGTCAAGGAAATGGACGGAAGAAAATTGCAACATCAGCAGGAATAGTTCGAAAAGTAAAGAAGCAGTGAACAAATCTAAACTTATTCTAAAATTTAATGCTATTTCCGACTTTTTTTGCTTTCTTTCAATAAAATTTAAAAAAAAAGTTAAAATTATGACATTTGACTTTGTTGCAGTTTTTTATCTCACCCTGTAGGTTGTGTGATATTGGCCTTAGAAATTGAATAGATTTAAAATCACTAGTCTAAATGAGCTATTAGAGTGTAAAATCGAAATCAGTTTAGGTCTTTGTATAAGTGTAGTGCCTTATGATGCGACTTAGACAAACTGACTGGGTCCAAGTTATGGATTCCTCCTTTGTTCATTTCATTGTTTTTATGAATTAGAAAAAAAACAAAAATCAAAAATTAAAACGAACATAAGGGTGTTCAATTACTTTGACTGGTTCTCAATTGCACTTCACCGGAGACGTACGTAGTACATAAGACGTACGTTGGAAGAATAATTTTCAGTCTTTAAACGACCAGCGATCGGCGACGGTGTGTACGAAAAATTCTATACGGATATGGAGGAAGACGCTTTCAGCGAATCGAGCGATGTGTCACAGCAACAGCCACAAAAGAATACCATGGCTGCATGCAGAGTACGTTTCTCGGGGCAACAACATTCAGAAGCGGTCGAAGAATTCCTCAATGGCGTGCAAACCTTTAAAACATTGGAAAAAATCACCGATGAAGATGCCCTAAAGGGTGTGTCCTTACTTTTCACCGATACCGCATCTCTGTGGTGGCAAGGTATACGCAAAGAGGTTACCACTTGGCAGGATTGCCTTGAGGTTCTCAAAGAACATTTCGCACCGCGAAAACCACCACATCAAATCTACAAGGATATATTTTCCGATGCACAGGATAATAATACGGGACTGAATTTATTTATTATACGGAAACGTGCCTTATTTGCCCAACTGCCCGAAGGTCGTCACGCCGAAAATGTACAAATCGATATGATTTATTGTCTAATCCATTATAAATATCGCCAGCATATGCGACGCGGAGATATATCATCATTTCAGGATCTATTGCAAAAAGGACGTGAAATTGAGGAAATGCTTGCTGAGGCGGGTTCTGTGGCATCGGGAGGTTGGGGAGAAAAGTTAAAGCCAAAGCGTTGCAGTTTTTGTAATTACCGTGGTCACACAGCCGAAGATTGTCGACGTCGTCAACAGAAACGGGGAGGAGGATTGCTGGGAGATCAACAGAATCTGACAGGTAAAGATAAAACATTACGAAGTGAGGAGATTTAAGAAAGCAAAATAAATGATGAGAAAAATTACATAATTTTAACTAACTTTGCTAAGTGTCGAAGAATTTATAGAAGGAGAAGAATTCAATTAAAAAATAGAATTTTTAAATATTTTTCACAATTGTAATTTTTCATAAAAAATGAGTTTATATCATATATTAAATTTTAATTAAGATTCCTTAATTAATAATAATTCATTATGTAGAATTTTAGCCAAAAATAGTTTAAAATTAAGCTAATATTTTTTTATTTTAATTCCGATGCCTATTTTTTTAATCACACATCCGTGCATAGCTACATTTTTTTAAATCCATTTTTAAACATTACATTTTTGAAATGTCACACTTAGTGATCCCTAATGATTATTTTTGCAAAAAAAAAAAAACACAACTCAAATCTAAAGGTAAGGTTACATAAGCAGCTTGACATCACGGCTGGGCATATTAATGTCAATTTATAACGACGGCAGAATTCGAGTGCGTCTCTGACATTCCTTTATGATTTGTCCCAAAATATGCCATGTAAAGACTTCAAGCTACTTATGAACCCACACCTTACCTTCAACTGCAATTAAATTATAATAACAAATATTCCAAATTAACATTGATTTTGCAATGAACACCAGCTGTTTGATCCAGTAATCAGCTGATCTGGCTCAAGGCACGCCAAAGCAAAAAATTGAAATATTTTTAATATATTACTCACAAACAAAAAATCCCTATGAAATCGGACATATGGATCATCTACTATCTGTGCCGATTTCAAAAAAATTATATTCCAGGCACAACTTCCTACAGATGCTGAATTACAAAAATACATCTGAATCTTCGTATGGATGCATTTCGTGTGTTTTAAAGGTACATAAACATGAATGTTTTGGTTTAATGTGCTTTTCAAAATTGCCATATTTAATTACTAACTAATTTGTCATGTTGCCTACATACTATGGTAAAAGAATACAGGTAGATGTATCATCGCTTGGGAACATTGAAATGTCAAAAATTTTAAATCTTTTTTTTTTCAAAAATAAATACTTCCGTACACAAATCGGAAGTTATTATGATATGTCTTTTTCAAAAAATTGTACAAATTTGAATAATTTTTCATTCAACATTTTCAATTTCAAACTTGGTTTTTAAATGTTTTATTATGTGACACGAATCGGAGGTTGTTATGACATGTCTTTTTCAATTATTTTTAAAAAAATTGAGAAATTTCATATAACATTTTCAATTTCAAAATTGGTTTTTAAAAGTTTTTTTATACGAGGTCAATCGGAAGATATTATAATATGCGTTTTTCAAAAAATTTTACAAATTTAAATAATTTTTTATTCAACAATTTCAATTCCAAAATGGATTTAACAGTTCATTGTCCCTGCAGCTGTGTCGACGCGTCTAGCTATATTCTTCTACCATGATACTTTACAATCACAATTTCGTTTTAAGCTATCAATTCAAAGTGAATGACACTACAGGTTAAACAACATTTGCATTGCCATTCATTATCATGATTATCATGATTAGGGAAATTATCAGAGTTTATTTTTAACAAAATGTTTAAAAATAAACCCTGACAATATTCTATTTTCGGATAAAGAATGCAATGCCAAATGTCTCGTCTATCAAGTGTTAATTGAAAGAGGGTAGACACAATGTACCCATTTGTCTGTCCCCTTTCCTACAAACTTTCTGGTTTTTTTCGAATGACATAATCTATCACATTTCCAAAATTCCATTTTTACACTAACCAAACAATTCATGTTTAAAACCTTGAAAATACATTATAAAGTCCCATTTTAATACCACATCTATAGGTCAAGTTACGCCTTTAATACATTGCCTTATACAATTGGGCTGGGGGTTAAGTAAACATCAATTTGGTCGGTTTCAATTTTGATGGGCTTAGACCCCCAAAGGTTATGACCGACAATTTCTTGTAGTCACTTAAAAATGAGCGATGCATCTACACCAAACCCATACAGAGGGTTTAAACACCAAAATTCCAAAATATAAACGTGGTAAAATCAGCTGTTTTTTTTAGTTTGCAGAGCATGTCTTCCTTTGGAGTTTTGAGGATTTTGAATGGAATGCGCCAATTCTTTAATGGGAATTTATTATAGAAATGGCATTTTAGGCTCAAGCTAAATTTACATACATCGCTATTCACAGGTGGTACAAGAAATTGTTCGATCAATATGACCACTATGCCCAAAAAATCCAAACAAACAACAACAACAAATCAAACAACAACAAAACAAACAACCACAAATCACAATTCAACATTTCGCAAATAAAAATGTGGGAGATATTTTAAAATTGGATAATTGGAAAATTTCCAAATACCCCAATTCAACATTTTTAAAATTTAACAATTTGAAGATTTTAAAATATTTCTCGCAGTTTTTATTTTTTAGTTTTAAGTTTATTTATAGTTTATATTGTTTTACCCACTTTTCTTGTCCAAATTCCAAATTTTACAATAGTCCAATAATGTTTTGTAATTTTTCGTTTATATTTTTTGTTTTCATTTAATTTTTACTTAGAACTCACAAATATTTGGTGCTATATTTTTTAAATTTTAAATAAAATTTATAAAAAAGAAACACACAATTTTGTTTTATTTCTCTAAAGGTTGGCATAAAAAAAAACAAGTAAAAAGCTTGAAAAATCTCCACCATTTGGCAATTCTCAAAAAAAAAAAAAAAAAAAAATAAATAAATAAACTCAGTTAAAAATTCTGTTAAAATCTTAAAAATACCAAATGTAGCTTTTATATTAGAGACTATACAACGACATGGACCTGCATAAGTAACTTTTGTCATAACCCATTACAATATTTTAATGCGAAACTTAAAAAAATCGGTGAATAATGTAGCTAAAATCATCAAAATACCGAATATAGGAGGTCCGATTATATGCGTGCTATACGAAGACGTGGACCTGCACAGACAATTTTTTGGCATAGGCTGTAGTAGCTATTACGAACTTTAAATATCAAATTTGAAACAATTCCGATAAATAATGTTGCTAAAATCATCAAAATACCGAATATCTGGAGGTACCATTATATGGGGGCTATACGAAGACGTGAACCTGCACAGACAATTTTCTGTCTTAGGCTGTAGTGTCCATTACGAACTTCAAATACCAAATTTTAAACAATTCCGGTGAATAATGTCGCTAAAATCATCAAAATACCGAATATTGGGAGGTACCGTTACCGTTATGGACCTGCACAGATAATTTTCTGTCATAGGCTGTAATATTCATTACGAACTTCAAATACCAAATTTGGTACAATTCCAGTGAATAATGTCGCTAAAATCATCAAAATACCGAATATCGGGAGGTTCTTTTATATGGAGGCTACACCAAAACGTGGACCTGCTCAGACAGTTTTCTGTCATAGACTGCAGTATCTACTACGAACTTCAAATACCAAATTTGAAACAATTTCGGTAAATAACGTAGCTAAAATCATCAAAATAACGAATATCGGGAGGTACCGTTATATGGGGGCTATACGAAGACGCGGACCTGCATAGACAATTCTCTGTCACAAGCTGTAGTATCCATTACGAACCTCAAATGCGAAATTTGAAACAATTTCAGAGAATAATGTCGCTAAAATCATGACAGTACCGAATATGGGGATATACCGTTATATGGGAGCTATGTGAAGACATGGACCTGCACAGACAATTTTCTGTCATAGGCTTAAATATCCATTACGAACTTCAAATGCGAATTTTGAAACAATGTCGCTTAAATTACCAAAATACCGAAAATAAGGAGGTACCATTATATTGGCGCTATACCAAAACGTGGACCATTTTCAATACCAAAAGTCCTGCAGACATAATATACAGTTGATTAAAATTGTATTAACCTACTTCATTTCGTTCGGAAGCTAGAGTGATTTCCATAGGCGGACGGATGAACATCGCTATATCGAAGATTTAGAATAGAATTTTATGCTGATCAAGAATAGATATACTTTGTGGGGTCTAAAGTATATATTTCGAGGTGTTAAACGGAAAGACGCCATACTATGGTGGAGGGTATAAAAATTGTGATTATACCATTGGAAATTCTGAGAGCTTATCATTAGAGTTTTATTGGCTTTTTCAGAATTTAAAAAAAAAAATAAAAAGGAAATATGATCTCCCCGACGGGGAATTGAACCCCGGTCTCCCGCGTGACAGGCGGGGATACTAACCACTATACTATCGAGGATTGTGACAGATGGGCGGGCAAATAAAGATGAAGTACAACAAAAAAAATGTAAACAACAAATTTCAAACAGTAAACAACAGCACAACTTGGGTTTTACACTGAACGACATCGCCATGACACTTTTTATTTATTTTGAATATAAACAAATAAATACCCTAACATAAATAAAATCCTGAAACATTTCACATCCACTTAAGGTTTCAATTCATCGAAATAAGCTCCGGTCATAAGATCAGCTTCTTGTATGCCAAACTCTTTAATTAATTTATCCGCCACAGCTTGGCCCTCTTCAATTGTTTGTTCGGGCAAAAGACAAACTTCGAATTCCATAAAATTACCCAAATTCTCGACTCGATCCAAATGAATGCGGGTACGTTCGTACATGAAGAGGTAACGTGTTTTCGCCACTATACCCTTGGCGCCATTGCTTAATGTGAGGATTTTCTCCAGCACTTCTGGTTCGTCTACTTCGATTTTATTGAATTTGGACAATTTTGGACCCGCCACATCCGGCCGGTCATAGTAAACCAGCTGTGATTTAGCCGGTGCTTGAAGATAACGTAATTTCAATCGTCCACTTTGCGAATTAAAGAACACATCGCGCTGGACAATGGTTTCTCCTTCGGATTGGGTGAGTTTTTTAGCAATTTCAACACGTCTTGCAAATTCTTCATCAGAACCAACGCGTGCTTTTATTTCAATGTTGCGTTCATCAGCTGGGCCGGCAGCGTTTGTTTCCATCTTTGCTGTGAGAGCTTTCGCCAATGACTACTGGCGAATTTAAGGAGATAGCAAAAACGGCAATATTTGCCGCCACTAAATCAGGGATGGTAAATTGTTAAAAGGGTACTAAAAGTGATGGTTCGGCGTTTAATTGTACTTTAATGGTAGAATTTAGAATGTAATAACGCATTAGCACCATTGAAGATTAACCCCTAGGTTTATTATATCCAGTGGGTTAATCTTGAATGTTTAGACATGTGTTTTTTGATGTTGATGTTTTTTATACCCTCCACCATACATAGTATGGAGGGTATATTAAGTTCGTCATCCCGTTTGCAACTCATCGAAATAATAATTTTAGACCCAACAAAGTATATATATTCTTGATCAGCGTAAAATTCTAAGACGATTTCGCCCTGCCAGTCCGTCCGTCCGTCCGTCTGTTGTAATCAGGCTAGAGTCAAAACGAATTAAGATATCAAGCTAACATTTTGCACAGTTCTGTCTTTTGTCTGCAGGCAGGTCAGGTACGAAGATGGGCTATATCGGTCTACGATCTCGTATAGCGGCCAAATAACGATACCTCCCAATATTCGGCATTTTGATGATTTTAGGCACATTTTTCAATGGAATTGTCTGAAAATCCACACATGGAGTTCCTTGTGAGTACTTTATCTTCTGAAAAAGAATTATCCGTATAAGTCCACGATATCATATATCCCCCATATAACCATACTTCCCCATTTTCGGCATTTTGGTGATTTAACCTCATTTTCTGAAAATCCACAAAGGGAGTTCCTTGTGAGTAATTTATCCCCTAGAAGAGAATTGTCCATATAGGTCCACGATATCATATAGCCCCCATATAGCAGTAACCCTTTCAGCTGAAATTTTGCAATGGAAGGGGTTCCATCTGAGTACTTTCCCCCGTTTTAGCATAGCGCCTATATAACGGTACCCTTAGATATTCGGTATTTTCATGATTTTTGCGACATTATTCACCCAAATTTCGTATGTGATAGCCCCCACATAATGGTTTTCATTTGAGCGGTACTTTTCGATGGATTTTTCTTTGAAATTCTTTAAGTTCCTTCCAAATAGTGGAGGGTACAAGAAGTTTGGCCAGTCCGAACTTAGCTGCTTTTTTCACTTTTTATAGGAATGCTATTTCTGTTCCCAGTGGTTTTTACCATTAGTATGTAGATACCAAAATAGAACCAAGCGGATGGACCATTTGAGGCTCAGTCGCGGTCTACATTCATATGAGGTACTATCAATACAAATAAAGATTTCATTTCATTTTTTGAATTACATGCCTTTTTATACCCTCCACCTTGAAAAGGAGGGTATATTAACTTTGTCATTCCATTTGTGACATCCCTAAATACTCATCGTAGACCCCATAAAGTAATATATTCATAATCAGCATTAAAATTCGAAGTCGATTTGACGATGTCCGTCTGTCTGTCTGTTTGTTGAAATCACGATACAGCCCACATTATCTGACGTAGAGCTTTGGCAGAACAATTTGCAATGTGTCTAGGATGGTTGGTATTAAAAATGGGACATATCGGCCCACGTTTTGGTATAGCCGCCATATAACGGTACCTCCCAATATTCGGCATTTTAATGATTTTCGCCACATGTTTCTACGGATTTGTCTAAAATTTGATATTTGTAGTTCGTAATGAGTTCTAGCTCCCATATAATGGTACTTCCCGATATTCAGTTTTTTTTGATGATTTATGCCATTTTTTTCCACGGATTTGTCTAATAATTTGTATTTGTAGTTCACAATGGGTTCTTGATCCAAGTCTATATAGGTCCATGTTTTCATATAGCCCTCCGGATATTTAGTTTTTTTATGATTTTTGCCACATTTTTCCACGGATTTGTCTAAAAATTGGTATTTGTAGGTCATAAAGGGTTCTAGCTCCGGGTGTCAGAACATTGAATATTTAGGTCCACGTTTTCCTATAGCGCACATATTACGATACCCAACGATATTCGGAATTTTGATAGTCCCTGTCACATTTACCCACGAAATTGTTTCAAATTTGGTATTTAAGAAAATTTGGTGATGAGGTATAAAATTGTCTATAGAGGATCCCATTTTAGTATAGCCCCCATATAACGGCCTGACCCTATTTATGTTTTTTTTTGAAAAGTTTAACAGCTTTATCCAAACGGTCTTACTGGTATTTGTAGTTTAAAGATGGAACACGTTTGAATTCAAATACTTTTTATAATTTTTTTTTTCGTTACCCAATGGTCGAGGGTATTAAAAGTTCGGCCCGGCCGAACTTAATGTTTTTTACTTATTTTTTCGAAACACTTTCCTATGGCTCTTAAAAAATCATCCCTTAATTCTTGTGGAATGAAATGGTACTAAATTGCTCTGCACGATACTTCAGTACGTTTTAAAGTTAAAAGTTACCATTCTACTAAATTTGCCATCCCTGACCTAATGTCTCTATGGGTTAATAAAAGCTTACGATAAACTTATGATATTCGTGAAAGCTTGACCATCTTCACCATATTCAAATACACCATAGAACAGAGCGAAATCAACATCCTCGATAGTATAGTGGTTAGTATCCCCGCCTGTCACGCGGGAGACCGGGGTTCAATTCCCCGTCGGGGAGAAAGTGAATTATTTTTTTTTTAATTCTTTTTCAGTAAAGGCAAACAGTCTTTGATTAAATAAAGTTTTTCCCAATTCCTCCCGATTTTAGGTATGAGATTTTGTCGTTCTGTTTTTTTTTTCAAAAGTTATTAGAAAAATCCAATAGAATATGAAAAAAGAGCTAAAAATTGAAGACAAGATGGGGCAAACTCTCAACTCTACCACATTTGTTGCAATTTTCAGATTTAGATCTCTTGAAATCGGAGCATTGTAGAAATATGGTGTCTGCATCAATATTACTGATAACAATACTAGAATTATTATGGTCGAAACATTAACCCTTGGGCGAGCCATAAAGGGGTAATTTGGTCTTTTTGTCAAAATATGGCTAAAGACTCCCTTTAACCAGGATCTTGGTAAGTTAAAATATTTTACAAAAGCAACAGAACAATCTTATAATCTCCATTACGTCTTATCTCCTTATTCGTTCATAAAATTGTCCCGATTTCCTAAAACTCTTAGCAACTAAGGCGCTATTACCAGATGCAATTCCTGAAATCTCCAACGTTATTTTATAGTTTTTAAATTTTTGAAAACACCATTTAAACTTTTATTGGAATTTAATGATGCCCACTCTTCATGCGCTTTGCATCTTGTATCCTTATATTGAATTAAATACTGCAGGCACGTAGCAGTTACAATATTCCAAAACATTCTTGTCGACTAAATTACTTGTAGTTGTAGTTGTTGTTGCTGTGGTTGTCCTAATGCACATCCACTCACTTTAAGTATCCGTTGGCATGGAGTGGAATGTCGTCTGGCCTCTTAATTGGATAAAATTTGTTGAATACTTTCGAATAGTTGTTGTCTTGCATGTAAGGATGTTATTACACACACACGTGTGTATTTATGTATGTATGCATACAACACATCCTTTGACATTCATTTTTCTTAGTCAGTCACTCACTTATAGACAAACTGTCCGCCCCTTGGGTTATGTGTTTATTTGGGGAGCTCTCAAGAAAATGTAAATAATTTATCCATCCATCTAGACCTCTTGGCTTTGGAAGAAAGTCATTACACATCCTGACGCGTTTAAGTCCATATGTCTTACATTAGTTTGTGTTTTTTTTTTTTTTTTTGGATACATAGCCACTTTCCCTTTGAAGAGGGAAAACACGGGAAGTGACAATAGGTTTTGAATGAAACAAAAAAAAATCTATCCGCAATTAATTCATGCTGTGACATTTTGTTAAATTACGTTAAAGGAGGTGTGTTAGAAAGGAAAATAAAGACAAATGGAAATTGTTTTTTGGAAAATAATTAATTAAAGTTTAACATGGCGCCGGAGAGCTAAAATTACTGACATGGCAAAAACAAATAAAAATAAAGAGGACATATTTTTATAAAATATTTTTAATGGACCCTCTATTGATGAACCCCCTATAGGTCAGAAGGTGGCCTATGTAAGATATTTTATGAATAAATCTATCTTACATAGCCCTTCTTGGTTCCTATATATCAATTACGCAAAAGACTTTCTATGGATCTTCTAAAATAATGCTTAAAAAGTACGAATTTAACCATTTTTAAAGTCACCCCATTTGTGACTCGCATGACGTTTAATATTTTTTCTTTTGTGTCTCGTACCGTCGCTCGTTACCATGATACTGGTAGAGTAGTCCGTTATCAAGGAAGTCGCAGTGGCCAAAAAATGGCTCGTGAGCTGAACATATCGCAATATTCCATTCGGCAAATATTGAATTGAATAAATGAGTTCGGGATAAAGCCATTAAAGTTCCAAAAAGTGCAAGAACTTACACCACAACAGAAAGAAAATAGACTCAAAAGAGCTAAAGAGTTGCTTTGCTTAACCGAAAGTGGCGAACTGCTGAATTTGGAATTTGGTTTTCTCCGTCTTCGATGAGAAAACATTCGTTGTCCATTAGTTTTAAACAAACAATGTGATCGTGTTTACTTGCCAAAGAGGTCAGCTGAAAATGTGCACCTTCGGTTGGCCACCAGAACTCAAACCTCAAGCCGGCCACGGTGATGGTGTGGGCCGCCTTAACAGCCGATGGTTGCTCTTCGCTCGTATTAATCGACCATGGTATCAGAACAAATGCCGAATATTATCGCGAAAATATTCTGGAGGGTGTATTAAAGTCTTGGGCACGCAAACATTTTGGCCGCAGACCTTGAACATTCCAATAGAACTTGGCACCATCGCATTCAGCACGCGCCACCCAAAAATGGTTACAAAATGAGGTTCCTCGATTACCTCCGATTACCAATCCGTTGGACTATTGTGTCTGGAGTATTTTGGAAAGCAAGGTTGGCACTAAAAATACCAAAGTGTCGATCACCTCAAGCTTTCAGGGTACCTGAAATCGTGAGATACCGAGAGGTGAGTGCTATGCCTACAATTTTTAGGCCATAT